ATTTAAACTTGATTTGGATTACGAGACTTCATTTTGCTTAATCATCTTGCAGGCCGATCAAAAGTTCTAAATCGAGCTTTGCTTGTTTTCTGGTTCAATTTTCTCTATTTGTCTCTGCATATTTTACAGGAATTTATGATCCACGTCGATGCTTAGTGAGCTGTTTTAAGTTGGTTATCAAATCTATTTTGTGCGAGGACAAAACTATAGGTGTACACCATGAAAAATATAGATAAAGAATTATACAATAGTCTGACAGTCAATTCTTTTTTGCAGATGTGTTATTCTGAGCTCAAATTAAAAGAGAAGAGATTAACATTTTTGACAAGGCACAAAAGAAAGGGTCGAAGTTGATGCTTATGAATTGTCAAATCAGTCTTGAATGACAAGAGGTCTTCAAGTATTAGCGACAATGGGGCAACTGAACCTGCTAGGATTCTTCTGGAGAGGTGGTTCACTCAAACACAGAAACTGGAGGAACAGATAGGTAGAGATCCTCACTCGCCTTTAGTTACTGAGTTAGGTTTGTTATACACATTAGTTTCCTTTGCCCCTTTCCTCATGTGCATATGCTTTGCACTTGCGCACCTACAAAAACATGTAACATAAAGTCTTTATATATTCACACCTTTTTTGTGCATGTGCTTTCCACTTGTGCGAATATTGGTGGCGATACCCTTAGAAACCAATAGTTTTCCTAATGTGAACTGCTTTCTGCAGTTTAGTATACATAGCATACATGTATACATAGCATACATGGTGGTTTTAATCCGTCTTTATTTAACAATTCCCACTTCTCATTATTGCATTTAGTTTCCAAATTCCTAATTTTTTCTTCCATTTTTGCAGTTCATAACATTCGACCAAATGAATGGACAAAACTATCAGGCAACGATGTTGGAGAATTTCACTACAAGTACTATCCAGTTGAAGCAGAACTTGTGGAACAGGAGATAGCTGAATTTTCAGTCGCGTAAGAGACAGAGAGCGAATAAAAGTAGTAGAATATTTTCTAATTGCTACCGTATGCTTTTAAATTACATTTAAGGCATTAGACATGCTCAAACTTGTTTCGCTTATAGTATTTTGTTTTATAAACAAGCCATGCCATTCTTGATGCAGTTCAATTCTTGGTTTTCCTTTCCTCTTCAAATCTGGCCACCAACTTTTCTTCATTCGTGAGGTGCTTTGTTTTGTCTTCCTGAGGAGTGTATAAAAAATGTTAGCTGATCAAAAATTCAATTCATACAATTATACAAACAATACCTTACTTATATTAAAAAAAAAAAGTATTCAAATCACTCCACACTATTAAATACCAAATTAAACTATACAACACGTGCATTGCACGTGCTCACACTAGTATATTATTAAACTATACAACACGTGCATTGCACGTGCTCACACTAGTATATTATTAAATAAATGAAATTGATAGTGGATTGGTTTGGATGAAATTGGACTTTAATCGAGGCTATTGCACAACTTTCCAACAAGGCAGCATGGACTTGACCACCTGCCGGTTCACCGCTATTTGAACGTGTTTCATAAGTTGGTATGATGGTTGAACGTGAATCGGGTTGGGTTAATTAATGGTCAACCCAACGAGAAACAATACTAGTTAGTTTGGTTGAAATGAGTTCTAATCCTGCTGTAAAAAACGAGCAAACCCAAACTGATTCAATTTTGATCGATTCGATTTGTACTTGAGAAAACAATTATCGAATTTCAGAGACATCTTACTAGTTATCAAATCAATTCTTGAGTTTGCTAGCAAAAGTTGAGTTTGTTAGGGAAATATAGAGTTCGAAGTTGTCAATTGAGCAAACTCAATTTTGATGCTATCAAACCTGCTGTGCAAATCTTGATTTTACAAGCTATAAAAGTATAAATATTGCATGTGAGTTGGTTCAGGTTATAGGTCGAATCGGGTTGGACGTTTAAGAGGAAATTACGTCTACACCTGATTTTAAAATACCATTTTCATAAATCAAGTATTTAGTTTCATAATACAAAAATCAGATTTTAATTATTAATTATACATTTTTCATCCCCAATTTCTCCTCCATCTTCTCTATCCTCACTGTCGATCTCTTTGCCTCTTCTCCTCTTCGTCTCTCCACCTCCAATCACCCCCATTCCATCGCCATTTTTCTTTGCCTCGTCGACAGCAACTCCTTCACAGATCTGTCCTCCTTCGTCCTCATCAACAATCCACATCTGCCTCACGCGGCAGCACTCATCGCCATTCCTCGAGGTTTGTTTAGCAGCATATCCGTTGTTCTGGTGCGATGGTGGTGTTGTGGCGGTGGGTGTGGTGAGTTTTTTTTTTTGTTGGATGTGTTTTTCATTTCCCCCAAACTCGTTCTCTCTCGCTGCTCTCCTCTCTCTCATCGCCGTCACGACGATTGGTGGATGAATTTTTCAATTCCTAATTTTTAGTCACGATGATTAGTGGTGGTGGTACTGCGACGGATTGTAGATCTGAAGGTGGTGGCGGTGGTGGATGTTTTTGTGCGATTGGGGGTGGTAGAGTTGGGCGTGCTGTTGTGTGTGCTGGTCTGTGTGTTTTGCGTTGTCTTGGCGGTGGTGGCGATGGCGACTGGTGGTGGTGATGGTTGTTTATGCGGTTGCAGGTGGTGGAGGTGGGCAATCTGTGGGTATGTGTACTGATCTGTGTGTCTTCTGTGATGTTTTGGCGGTGGTGGGAACAGAGGTCTCTAGCGGTGGAGGTGTGCGTTCTGGTGCAATGGTGGTGTTTGATCGTTGCGATGCAGTGGTGGTGTTTGATGGCAATGCTGTGTGCGGTGTGACGATGATCGTAGGGATGAGATGGATGTGAGTGTCTGTGACCAATTATTTGATTGATTGTGACTAATAATTGGTTAATTTTTGAAAAATTAATAATGTGTGACCTAAAATCTTATTAAGTTATAATAGAGTTGTGACCAATAAAAGTAATCTGTGATTATAATTTGATATTTTGTGACCATAAAATAAGTTGTGTGATTTATAAATTTTTTGATTTGTGACCGATGAATAAATTGTGGCTTTTAAATTTTTAATTTGTGATTGATGAACGAACTGTAGCCTTTAGAATTTTTGAATTGCGACTTTAAAATTTTTGAATTGTGACCAAATTGCATAGATCTATGATCTTTATATATTTATTAATAAAATATATAATTAATTAATTAAATTGTAAATAAATTTTAATGAAAAC